GCGTTTGAGGGAGTGTGTCTATTCTTCCCCTTCAATCAAATCTCTCCTAAGTACAACAACATGTATAGTAATATTGGTAGTATTTTGCTTTTTAGATTAATAATAGCATTATGTTGTACCTTTAATTATTATATTCACCCATTGTATAGAAGTCATGTCTCATATTCACTTAAATCAAAATGAGTGAAAGGTTGACATAGAAAAAAGATTTATAAAACGTTAACATAGCTGGTTCCGTGGGAACCAGAATATCATGTTTAACACTGTAACCATCCAATCAAATTCATTACTTGCAGAATCTTAAATCATGACGTAAGCAAATCTGTTTAAAAGCCCAAACCAATGATTTTACCTGTCCATAATATCATATTCATTGTATTAGATGTTAAATCTGTAATAAACAACAACATTTAAGATTTAGATATCATTGGGTTCCGGAGAGACTATGCCATCTGAGTTCCTAGACCCTATGATGTAGCGGTTTCTCGAGTCTAGCCATGCTGGTTAGACTTTTACAAGAGTTGAGGTTGAGAGAAAGATGTTAATTTTAAGTATGCTAATGTAATCTATAATGCATTGTAACCATGTGTATCCAGCTTGACATCAAAATGTAGAACTGAACTGATGCATTGTAATTCCTGGTAAGACAAACGTCTTAACTAATGACAAGATAACCGTTGTAACGGCGGGGATGATAAGAAAATACACAACGTGAGTCCTAGCCAAAGAAGAGAATTACAGATCTATATTTTTATACTTTCGATGGCCTACACTAAATGAAGATCTGACCAGTTGTTTTGGAAGGTCGCGTTAGAGGTCATTCGAGCGGCTTTTGATTAACCAATCAGCATTGATGTTTCTATTGGATTACCCACAGTTCTGTGCACCTCACGCCAAAAGCTCTCCGTAACCGACGGTTTCATTGGCTAATCCCTCACATCATTCAGAACACGTCAATGATAACAACTCTTCCAGATCGTAGTGTAGTAAAGACAAGTAAAATGAAATTTTGAACTATAAAAAACGAAACGAAATTGGACCTGTGTCTTAATCAGATTGAAAGATCATGAAGGGCTGTTCCAAGAAAAGAGTGCACTGGTCATACGTAGGATGTGGCGACCGGATTTGGAGGCCCGCTTTCCATGCCTGACAAAAGACCCAGGGTGCTACATATTTGGTTTGGTTGCCGTAATTTCAGGCTCGACCTTCAAGGGGATCTACATATTTGATCTTGTGTACGCGACCAAAGGATCGAGTACCCAGGAAGAAATCTAGAAGATAAGAAAACCCGTAAAATCAGTAGCCTATCCAAACGAAATCTGGTCGAAAAAATTTGGTCAAAAAGAAATCTGGTGGAAGAAAAAATTTTTGGGAGTGGAAATATTCGCAAATGGGTAAATACGTTTTTTTCTGGAAATTGAACATTTAAACATGCATTATGCAAGAGCTAAATCTGTCTATTGCAGGTCTTTCTTTAGGCCTGAGATGTTATCTAAATTATTAATTAGACATTAATTAACTTATCCAGACCATAATCAACCCTACATGGCATCGCTAGCCTACGATAGATGTTTACTGGATTATGAGCCGATTTACTGCATAACTTTCCTTCACGATTTAACGATGAAATGGATAATCGAAACTAAGCTGTTTATCGTACTGACTTTAGTAATGATGATCAAGGCTAGCCGGAAATTTCAACCGTTTAGTTCTCGGTTCATAGTGGGAGAGAGAGAGAGAGAGAGAGAGAGAGAGAGAGAGAGAGAGAGAAATGGGGTTTAACGTCCACTCGACACAAACTAGGTCATTTCGGGACTAACATATGGTTTTTAATTTTATTTCAATAATTCACTTGCGCATAGGGGTCTTTAGCAGTGGGAGGAAACCGGGGTTCATAGTGGATCAATTTGAATGAAATTTTCAGCAAATTGCTTTTACATTATCTAGTTTTTAACTATTATAGTGAGAACTGACAATTCGTTATCAAATCTCTCATAATGTATCTTAAAAGTTGTTTAACAGATCAAATAATATTAATGTAATATTAAAATTCAATGTTTAAAGAAATAACTGTAGGGAATAAATATAGTCATTAATAAGTTTTGATGGATAGTTTTATAAACAATGTATATTATCAGGTTAACGTGGCCTATAGTAAGTATTGTTAAATTGGAATTAAAGTGGGCCTAGGTGGTAGGATAACTAAGGAATAATAATAAGGAAACAGAAAAGGGAATAAAATTAAGGAATAAATGATTTCACCGGGTTCAGTGGAACGGCAAAGACAAGAATAGGAGTATTCGTTCTTAACTCATAATCCTCTTGACTGGGTCCAATCTCGTGGGTTTCCTCCCACTGCTAAAGACCCCTACGCGCAAGCGAATTATTGAAATAAAATTAAACCATATGTTAGTCCCGAAATGACCTAGTTTGTGTCGAGTGGACGTTAAGCCCCATTTCTCTCTCTCTTCTCTTGACTGGCCTTTAGTACCGAATTCGTTATTTTATGTTATGTGGTGTTTTGCGTTGTTAATTAGGTTTAGCAAAGTAGAGTTAAGTTTATGAGACTTTTAGTTTTTAGTCCAAGTCCAAAATTATAATGTGAGCTAAGTAAGGCTAATATGGCTTTGAAGGTATTAGTCAAAGCTTAAAGTTATAATGAGAGCCAAGTGAAAGCTAAAATAAGTAATTTAACTTTTGAATATAAGGCTAGGTTATGGTAAGATCCCATGTGTTTAAATCTAAGGATTTAAGTATAGTTGAAAAAACTAACACTGACGACTCGTTGAATTTGTGGGATTATCGCAAAGTCAGTAACACAAGTTAAATGTGCCAAGCGTACATTATTAATACTAGTTGCAATATTGGACCCGCGTGATGTATTTCATTGAAATGCACGTGCTGAATAGTGTCTGTATATTAGGTTGTTTAATGGTTTCGTGCAAGACATTGCATAATATATACATAGTGCCAAGGAGTAGGGTCGCCTGTCCAACCTCGTGGGTTTTCTCCGGTTCCACCGGTTTCCTCCCACTGCTAAAGATCCCTACGCGCAAGCGACTTATTGAAATAAAATTGAACCATATGTTAATCCCGAAATGACCTAGTTTGTGTCGAGTGGACGTTACCCCCCCCCCTCTTAAAAACCTTCACCCTTGATCTAAAAAACGCGATCCCAACCAAATTCCGATGACCGTATCTGAACCGTCGTTACGAATCTGCATGTTTAATTTGTTTTCAAATTGTGAAATGCTTTTGCCATAAGACATATTAAATCATTGACGTTTATTATAGCCAATTTTATATAATGCTTATTAATATTTCCGGATAGTCTGTCACAACAGAGCATCGACTGTCTGTAAACGCCTATCTCCCTCTGTGTGTGAAATTCTGAACCAACGGCGTTCAAACTATGATCACCGAACACCTTTTAGTGTTTATTGTTTGTTTCGTGCAGTTGAACACCTTTGTGTATTCTAAAAAGAACACGTGTTGAAAAATTTGGTGTGTGTGTGGGGGGGGGGGGGGTGAACGTATAGTGCAAATTTCTAAAAACAACATCATTTTACGCGTCACGAGTGTTCTAAAATCCAGAGGGAAAGACATTTAAAACTGCACACATTCTGTTCTGAAAGTAAACACATATAAGTGTTCTGAATGAGTAAAGACGCGTCTGACCAATATCTGTTTCGCATAGGGATTGCGAAGACCTCCTTGTAGCGGCCTAGCTAACCTAGCTTCACTGCTATCACTGTGGCGTCTAAAGTGTTCCAAAAGTGTTCCAAAAGTGTTTTAAAATACTGTTCTAAAATGGCGCCTTTAGTGTTCTAAAAGTGGACGCCGATTTTACAGTGACTGAGTCAATTAATATAATTATTATATCAAATGTGTTTCAAAAGTGTTTCAAAATACTAGAAAATAGTGTTCTAAAATGGCGTCTTTAGTGTTCTAAAAGTGGGCGCCGGGGTTACAGTGACTGATCATTGATCAAATATTATGAAACACCAGATGGTATACAAGCACCAGTATTATGTAAATTATAATAAAATCGTTAAAAAGTTTCCGTATCTGAATAAATCAGCAGTTTTTCTTTCTTATCTTTCACACTAACACTATTTATGGAATAACAATTACTGGTTTATTAACATGCAACGTTTCGACGATGATACTCACGTCTTTATTAAGCAACGCTTCGACGATGATATTAAGGTCTTTATCAAGTTGCTTGTCGATGAAACTCTCGTCTTTATCAAGTTGTTTCATCGACAAGCAACTTGTTTGTGTGTTATTGTTCAATTACTAAATGACACTTAAAAAGAAGTTTCTATATCTTTGCTCGACTCAAAGCCCAATATTTATATTGCGTGAATATTAGAATAGAATAGAATTTTATTGCATCGACACGTCCTTTGAGGACAGCATCCATATACAAACAAGTACAAAAAATTTAGACGGGTACAAAAATTCAGACGGGCATAAATTCAGAGCACTCATATACTAGACCTATAAAACCTGCATACGGTACATATGATGAAAGTACGAAACAAAACTTACAAAGTATAAGCGACACCAAGAATATGTCAAAATTGAAATTCCGCTGTTTGGTCGAATTTGTCGTTACTATTTTTATCGGAATATAATCAATAGGAACTAATTAACTAAGAAAGGTAAAAAAAAAAATGTTTGGCCTCTCGATCCGCTCGGCAAGAATCGGATTTGCCCCTATACCCTCCTTGGGAAATTCCTGTATCTGCCTCTGGCTCTAGACTCGTACAGCGCAGGGAAACATAATATATAAATAGATTTATTACTAATATTATTAGAGCCTCAAATCGGGTATTTTGTTCAGCTGTTAGACTGTGTATTAATAAGGTAGTTTTATTGAATAAACTTTCCCTTATTTAGCATCCTAATTAAACTTGTTGGACCGCTTCCCAAAGACCACAGACAAATTAATGGATTTGGGTCGCTTGCTTTACATGTTTAGCCACGCGACACCCGGCCGATTGACCAGAACGCCGTGCTATCCGGCGAAGCAAAAAAATAATGGAGGAAAGATAACTCTTACCAAAAAATCCGGAAGTCGATATTATGTCAAAACAAGAAAACGTGAATACAAATGTTTTAATAGGTATGCATATGAAGCTTTGGTAATATTTGTAATGAGGATAATATTTTCTTGAGATATATCGTCAAATAAAGGTTTGGACACAATCAGCGTCAACAAACACTAGAGTCTGGAGGGAAGAAGTTGCAAGACACTAATTCAAAATTGACTTGAGTCTCTGCTGACTGCTTTCTTTAGATTTTAAATAAATGACTCTTCCTGATTCTGCTTTCCTTTGTTTTAGCATGTTTCTTTAATTTTTAGTCTTATATTGTCAATTGTTATTATTATTAAACTACCGGTATATAAATTGCACAGACATTGCCTGTTCTTTCACCAAGTCCAAGCAAGTAAATAATTTTAATAAGATAGAATTTTATTGAATCAAAATGCCCTCTTCATCAAGAGGCAGCATATATAAATATAGATCTGAAAACATGACTCACATTGTTCTGAAAATACATTGTGTATTCATTTAGTTCTGATGTTATGTATGGTATTAGTTTAGTGAAAACATGATAAATACTGTAATAAAAGTATGGTACATTCAGCAATATACTGGTTAATGTATACTTCTCCAGACATCAAAAAGTGACACAGTTGCAGTTGGCTATATTATAAAAATACTGAAATGGGCCTGATGTGATTTTTGTCTTGGTAGACCCACTCTGTGTATAAGCTTATATATCCAAATTATGAAGACTCACTCATTGTAATTTTCTTAATTTTGTATTTTTTCTATTCACAGCCTTTTGACAGCCTAAAAATAAATTTAAAAGAATGGAAAGCTAACATTCTACAGAATGAAATTAGCTGTTTTACTCCCACGTATATGAGTTCATTGAATATGATTTAAAATTCTTTATCCATTCAGTCTTCTAATGGCTAAAGGCTTAGATCAAATAGTTGAGTATGCTGAAGTGAGTACCGTACTAGTACATACATTGGAACACAAAAATGCATGACATATTCAAAATGCATGACATATTCAAAATGCATGAAAAAAATAAAAATAGATTGCAGTAAATGATCTATTGATATCTTAAGAGTTACAACGGTTGCCATTAAAATCTATACTAGTCCCTGATGATCCAACCTTCGTTCTTCAGGTGATTGTAGCATTTTCAGGATTCCTAAATATAATAAACATTCTGGTGAATATGTTTTCTCCGTCAGAGCAGCTAAAATGTGGAATGATCTTCCAAAAAACTCTTCGAGAGCCCTTTCCATCCAGAGTTTTAAGACTAACCTAAAAACATATTTATTTCAAGAATGTTTTTGTAACCTAAAAACATATTTATTTCAAGAATGTTTTTGAACTGTTTTGTTGTGAATGCGCTTAGAAACAATCATGTGTAATGGAACTCTATATAAATTGAACAATAATATTAATACCCCCGGTAATATATACGTTTAGTTTACCAGATCTTGTTTTTTTATTGTAGGATCATATCACAACTAGCATATTTAGTATTCAAATCCAATCTGATAAAACCCCAGATCTACAGTACATTTCGTTTCATTTTTTTGTATACTTTTGAGGGCCTACACTACATGAAGATCTGACCAATTGTAGTGGGAGGTCGCGTCAGGGTTCATATGAGCAGCTTTTGCTCATATGACGTGATTGACGTCAGACTTTTGATTAACTAATCAGTGTTGATGTTTCTAGTAGGATACCCACAGTTCCGTGCAATGCATGCCAAGAACTCACCGAATCAGACTGTTTCATTGGCTAATCCCTCACATCCATCAACAACTCTTCTACATCCTAGTGTAGTAAAGACAAGTAAAGCGAAATTTTGAACAATAAAAAACAAAACAAAATAGAATCTGTGTTTTAATCAGATTGTATTCGAATCTGAATGGAAATCAAGTATACTATACATGTAACTCTTAGGATAAACACATTCTCATCTAACTAGTAATTTTTAAAAAGATATCTCGATTGCTAGACATTGCAGATTATTAAAAGTATGTTCTGTATTTTTTTTCTAGTACCTGCTCCAGTGTTCTAAGCAGCAGCCATCAAAACTTTTAAAAAGTAAACCTGGTGACACAAGCTCAAGTAAAAGGTGTGGTATAAGATATTTAGTGTAGTGCCATATTTCATCTGTGGTTTCTATATGTTGCCGTGTAACATTTAGAAAATCAAAATAATTTAAAGGGGCATTATGGGAGATTAGATAACGAGCTGACAGTTCTCGCTGCAATAGTTTAAAATAGATAACGTAAAGAGAATATGATGAAAATTTCAATCAAATTGCTCTACTCTGAACTGAGAAATTAGCGATTGAATTTTAGGCCTAGCCTCGATCATCATTACTAAAGTTGGTATGATAAAACAAAGTCTCGATTATCCATTTTTACATTAATTCATCCATCACAAAATGTATTCAAATCCAGAAAACTTTGGAGGCTATAGCGATGGCATCAAGAGCTGTTTATGGTCTGGATATGTTAATTAATGTGTAATTAATAATTTAGATAACATTTCAGGCCTAAAGAAAGACCTGCAAATAGGCAGATTTAGCTCTTGCATAATGTATGTTTAACGGCTAAAAATGATTGATATAATGTTTTATTTATTTGCCAGTAAATCTATACACCAGAAATTGTTAGATTTATATATAGAAGAAACAGAGCGACAGCCAGATGGAAAGGTATGTCAAATTACCTTTGAAGACTCGGAACATTTTCTTTTAATTTGTCCCTTACGTTCAGATGCACGATCTGCAACAATATCAAAACTTCCAAAACATTATCAAAATTTATTATTCGAAACTGAAGACAGAAACAATTCTGAAGAAATTTTTTCGGCAGTACATAACTTCCTCGACATCTCCCAAAGATTTTGAAAATTCGGTATGTAAATTTATGAAATATAAACATTCTGATTGTGGTTTGTACATATCCTGTATATAGTGTATATAGCCATCTTATATTTTAATCGTTTATTTTACTTTTCTTTACTTTACTTTACTTTTCATTATATATTTATGTTTGTACTTTTATGGAGAGGGGGTATATAGGCTTTTGCCTGTTCTCCAATCCAGTTTCTGTGAATAAATATTGTTTAGAAAAACAAAAAAAATTACCATATTAATTATCTACTTCAGAAACAAACATCTTGTATTAAAGGAGCTAAAACCCTAAAATTTGGGACCTAGAAATTGAGACAAATGGGTCGCAACGCATATAATAATGTAATATGAATGTATATAAACTGATTTATATTCAATCGTTTCCGTTTCTACCGTAATTTCAAATCAGTTATGTTCGCGAAATACGCTAGAAGTCTCAATCGAATGGCAAACTTTAGCACCTGGTTATTCCAGTCTACACCAATAGTATTTATTGTATGTGCTCTCCAGATAAGAATATGGCATCCCTTGTTACAAATGGGGCTGAAATGCATTATTGTACACTATTCATGTACGAATGGTAAAATGTTTATTTTGTCTTAAAATATTGGATATCAGAAGCCCATCTTTTCCCGGTAGGACCACAACATCAATGTTGATTTAAATTGACAAATAATTGGTGATTTCAATGTTGAAAACTTTGGTGAATGATATTGAGTTAGACACTTAGCTACTTTAATATTTAATAGATTAGTTGAAAAAATAAAGATCAATCTCATATATATATATCTGTCTCAATGTCAAAGACTTTGGATGATTTGAGTTAGAGACTTAGCTACTTTAAGTGGTCCTACAAAAGACAAACGGCTTGACTGGCTTGTGATAAGTCACTGAATATTATGCAAGTTATAAGACTTTGCTTGTGACTGTAGAATAGGAACTTGGAGTTTGAAATGATCTTTATATATTATAGGAACTGGATTATTCTACACACCTACTGGCGAAGCTGGTTAAAAGAGACAAATTAAATACATTAATCCTTAATCTATACCCAGCTAATGAGGGATATTCTATTATGGTAAAAACTAAAAATGGTGTGGAAACAGAAACTATTAAATTACCATATGAGGTCTGTACATTGGCTCTACTTGTCCTTGGACAATTCTTCCCTGGATAATTCATTCCTGGACAATTCGTCTCCGGACTATTCCGCGTTGGGAATTATTAGTCCCATAGGACAATTCATCCCCAAGGGCTATTCATCCCCAGACTATTTGTCCCCATGGACAATTCGTCCCCTAGGAAGTTTATCCAGGGAAGAATTGTCCAAGGACGAGTTGTCAGGGGATAATTTGGCATGTTTGTCTGCAGATCTTATCTTAGTACATTGTAGTGCAAATGTATTTGTACATGATCAAGAATTTCCTGCATACACGAGATAACAACATCGTAAAAAACATTCATCCATACTCACTGTTTGTTCATACTCTCCTCTTAAAACCTGTCTTCATTAGCCCAGTATAGGAGTAGGACATTAACCCCCATTTCATTTCATTTCGTTTCTCTTCTTAAAATCATTTAAGGGAAACTTCAGTCGTCGATTTTATAATTTTTTGCATTATCTGATAGATACTACAAGGCACAACCAGAAAATTGAACCATTTCGCCATTGATTAACCGGAGAAATTATTTTTAGAAGCCATTTTTGTCACCTAACTTGATTGAGGGAGGATCCATTTTTCAGAATGCATTTTTCATTACTTACTGTCCATTTACCATACATATTGAGGCCTAAGTGAATTCTTGAATTATTTCTGCCAACTGCTTTTTCTGCTGTCTGTTATACGTTTACACCCCTCAGTTTTTCCAAAGCCGGAAAACCCTTTGATCAAGAAATAACGATTGATCCCTATGTCAAGCTGACAGACAATAAGTCGGATTGCCAGTTAGTGATACCCTGACATTTTTGGCGTCTATATATACTTTCCATATATGTATGTTTAAAGATTGAATTTTATTTGAGAGATTTACTTCCGTACTGAATTTGGTAGTCAGCCTTGGAAAATTTTATGCGTATGTTCATAATTTTGTTCTATTTTACAGGAATCTGATTTACTGGAATATGTTGATGATGCACAGGTTAGCTAAGTTTTAATTTATATAAAAAACAATTAGGATTTTATGAATATGATTAATTTTTCATTTGACAAATCATAACTGCTGATCCAAAATTCATGAACCGTTTCTTGGTAGAGAGAAAAAGAGAAATGGGGTTTAACATCCACGCGACACAAACTAGGTAATTTCGGGACTAATAATAGATGGTTCAATTTTATTTCATTATTTGACTTGCGCGTAGGGGTCTTTAGCAGTGGGAGGAAACCGGAGGACCAGGAGAAAACCAACGAAGTTGGACAGGCGACTCAATGATAGACCTTATGATATGACACGGTGGTGCTAACCATTCGGCCATTCCCCCCCCCCCCCCCGCCCATTGATTGAATAGTTGTACAGTTTAGACAGGTTCCAATTCAACTGTAATTTAAAATCTGATTGAATATGGAAGTACAACTTGTTCAGTTGGTATTTGTAAAAGAATTTCACTTATTTATTTTAAATTTTTCAGTTACCACCATTTTTAGTAGATTTGTTAGAAAAAGCACATGTAAGTATCTTGAGTTATTTTTTTTTTTCAAACTTTTAATTAATTGATTTGTAAGGTTTTTGTTTTAATTTAAGTTATATTTTTTGTTTTTGTCTTATTTTTCTAATTTTCTACACTACATAAGATTTAATATACAGTGGAGCCCCTTTTTTTCTGGACTCTTGGAAACTCCAGCTTTTGGAAGAATATTAATGAGAATGAAACTTTACACTCTAATCCAAATAATAAAAATGGGTAACCAAAAATCCCATTGATTTTATTTCACAGACTAGTTAAAAATGGAAGATGAGATTAAGAGCTGGCAGTTCTAACTAAAATAGTTAAAAACTAGATAATATAAAGGGGATTGAAATTTAGGCCTAGACTCGATCATCATTACTAAAGTCGGTACGGTAAAAAACATAGTCTCAGTTATCCATTTTTGGATTTAATCGTCAATGAAAATTGGACACATAAGATGCCATCGAAAGTTGGTTAAGGTCTTTTTATGTTAATAAATGTCTAATTAATAATTTAGATAACATTTCAGACCTAAAGAAAGACCTGCAATTGGCAGATTTAGCTCTTGCATATTGTATGTTTAATAATGTATTCAATATCCAATAAAAAAAAATATTGGATGGGCCGGGGGAGGAGCAGTTGTCCTAGGGGAATTCGAATGGAAGTTATATAGCCATCATACAAGATATTAATATTATTAGAAGCAGTGTTTGTTTTCCCATAGAAAAGCATGAAAATTAAAAGGACGATTTGAACTATATTTCAGTATCGGTCAATATCCATAAATATTAAGTATGAAAATTCAAATGATTATGTGAACTATATAAAGGATGTCAATATCAGTCAATATCTTTTTCTTGATTAAAATATACACAAATTGATTATTTAAAGTAGCTAAGTCTCTAACTTAATATCATTCACAGTCTTTCGACATTGAAAACACAAATTATTGGTCAACTGAAATCAACATTGATGTTGTGATCTTACCAGGAAAAGATGGGCTCCTGATATCCAATATTTAAGACAAAATAAACATTTTACCATTGGTACACGATTTGTGTATCGGAATGCGTTTCGACATCATTTGTAATAAGGAACTCAAAGAATGAGGTGAGACATATTGCACAAGTCAAACGGTAATGCCATACTCGTATCTGGAGAGCATGTGCAAAAAATACTACTGTTTTAGACTGATATAACCAGACGTTAGAGATTGCCATTCGATTGAGACTTCTCACATATTTCGCCGAAAATAGAAATAGATTAGAAATTAGAGTAAAAACAGAAAAGATTGAATGTAAATCAGTTTATATACATTCATATTACATTATTATATGTGTTGTGACCCATTTGTGCCAATTTCTAGTTCCCAAATATTAGCGATTTAGCTCCTTTAACATTATCCGCATCTTTCTAAATTTTAACCGTAATTCAACCATTTTTGAAGATTCAGCTTTCGCAATATTGAATTTTACAAGGGATTCCGAATCCCTGAAATGACGGTCCACAGATTAAATATGTTTTCTATAGTGGTTGTGTTGTTTATATATTACAGATTAATGTTTTCTATAGTGGTTGTGTTATGTTATATATTACAGATTAATGTTTTCTATAGTGGTTGTGTTGTTATATATTACAGATTAATGTTTTCTATAGTGGTTGTGTTATGTTATATATTACAGATTAATGTTTTCTATAGTGGTTGTGTTGTTTATATTTTACAGATTAATGTTTTCTATAGTGGTTATGTTGTTTATATATTACAGATTAATGTTTTCTATAGTGGTTGTGTTGTTTATATATTACAGATTAATGTTTTCTATAGTGGTTGTGTTGTTATTGAAGTACGAGATTATCGTAGATCAACAAGTGGATCACATGATTCCCAGTATGTCCTCCTCAGACCAACATCTCAGGTATGTGTAATGGAACGAATTTCCTTCATTGTTTAGCCTTTTACTCAGTATTTCACGTACTTCTATTGTTGTCTTATCATCGATTTTTAAGCCTTAACCTGTCCTAAACTGCCCTTAAGAATGACCTACGTCATTTGACACTAAGATTGTAAAATAGTGTTATAGTTGTAGTGTTAGAGAGAGAAATAATTTTTGCAAGAAGAACAGCTGAATGTCTGTCTACTCTTCTTCAAATTCCAGCTGTTAAATGATCTTCTATGGTCATATGTTCCTTACCAACATATCAAGTTGTGAATTGAACCTTTTTATCCTAGCAGTCAATAGCAGAAGAAGAAAAAATTAAAATTATTGCAATCTGATTAAAACAGATCCAATTTCGTTTCGTTTTTTTTTAATTGAAAATTTCGTTTTACTTGTCTTTACTACACTAGGATCTGGAAGAGTCGTTATATAACCCACATTCTGGATGCAGTGAAGGATTAGCCAATAAAATGGTCTGTTACGGTGAGAGTTTGGCGTGGGTAACCCACTAGAAACATCAGGGTCAATAGCCGCGTGTACGATCTCTGAAGCAACCTTCCACTACAACCGATCAGATCTTCATGTAGTGTAGGCCATCGAAAGTAAAAAAGACGAAACGAAATATAGATCTGTATTTTAATCAGATTGAAATTATGGGGAAATATTCTAGTCCTGAGCTCTAAGTAAATGACTACCACAATCTGACTACTGACTACTACAGACAGTTAATTATCTGAAGGGGGGCGTTGGAATGCTGAATGGTTAGAACTTGTGCGTTGTATCATAAGGTCTGTCATTGAATCAACTAGTGTAGTTTCAATTCCCCGGTTGTACGTGACAAGGAGTAGGGTCACCTATCCAACCGCTTGAGTTTTCTCCGGGTACTCCGGTTTCCCCCCACTGCAAAAGACACCTACGCGCAAGCGAATTATTGAAATAAAATGGAACTATATGTTAGTCCTGAAATGACCTAGTTTGTGCCAAGTGGATGTTAAACCCCATTTCTCTCTTCCTGAAAATTGTAATGTTTTTTTGTAATTTCAGTCATTGCTTTGTGATATTAATACCATTATTAGTGAGAATAGTACCCTTACTCATGAAGATCATTTTGCTCTTGAGAGTGAGTTGCTATTGGCAACAGAGGAACCATTATGTCTGGACCCCTCACCTGCTGTTTGTCTTATCAATAATAGAGTACAGTTTGAAGAGAAGAAATTATGTAATCCTTCTTTAAAACGGTAGGAAATATTGAATCAAATAAAACGGTAGGAAATATTGAATCAAATAAAACATTTATTAACTTATGTCACTTTAATTGCGTAAATAATCCCACACCAAGAGGAAAATACGAGGTGGCAGAAATCAAGTATCACGAAACTGTGTATATATTGGCGTGCGTGTAAAAGATCCCTTGTCAGTTGAAGTTCAGTATAAGAGTAGGTCATTGTGCCGCTGCCCGGGCAAAATTTCTCTTATTGCACACTGTATGGTGTATGCCCATCTTCATCGGAGCAGAACAGTAGGACATTAAACCCCAGTTCATTTCCTTTCTGTAAGTCCATTCTAAAGAGCTATTTAAGTTTATGAAAAACAAAATATATTGCAGGTCTGTAAAGAAATATACTCAAGCTGCAGTCAACAGGAAACGAAAATTAGCACAAGCTCCAGCACCTAAAGAACTTAAATTATTTGATTTTATAACCAGAAAAAAAGAAAAAAATCGCAATAATCTTCCAGTCAAACAAAATCTTAAAATGGCCAAGTCGGTATGTAAATAATCATTCACTACAACAATAATCAGCGGGGGTCATGGTGGATAAGTGGGTAAGATGCTGGCATGCTGGCCTGGAGGTTGCGTGTTCAATCCCTGCATAGGCCAAGAAAGTTCATCAGGATTTTCCAGCGTGTTTTTCCCTTGTCAGTAGTGCAGAACGGAGGGCCTGACAATGACAGCTGTCTAGACGTTCGGATGGTGTGAAAAACTAAGGTCCCGTGTAAACATTAGCGTGCACGTAAAAGATCCCATGGCAGTTGGAATTCGATATAAGAGTAGGCCACAGTGCCACTGCCCAGGCAAAATTTCCCTCATAACAGTAGGACATTAAAACCCATTTCATTTCTTTAATCAGCAAGAAACATATCTAATTTCTCTGTGGTGTAGTGTATTATATCAGATATTATGAGGTTTATTAATAAAAAAAACTTTGATATAATAGCTAATAGCTTGTATCAACTGTGTATAAATTATATATGGTTGATGAAAGAATATATAGAGTTATTTTTCCCTTGTTTGATGTTATTATGATAGTAATAAAAACATATTTTACTAATTTCACTGTGTGATATTTTCAGTGTGTTGATGTATGGAAACAGAAGAATCCTGTTAATTTAACAGCACCTTCAGTTTTAGAGGTAAATTATTTAACTGGATAGATAGAAGGAAGATTAACCCTTAAACATACATTATGGACTGGCCCTGGATCCATTCACTTGATTTGATATTTGTTTATTTTTTGCAATGTCTTGTCCGCAGGTTTATCTTGCTATTAGACTAAACCTACAATCAAGGCTTACTTTTCTCATCTTCTGACACAAAACTATCAAAATCTACAACACCGATAAAATCTGAATCACTGTTATTCAATATGGATGCTAATCAGCCATTAGTAGAACATTCTCGTGTAGGCCTAGACATATCTTCATTTTTCAAGAGGAAACAGTACGATTTTTAACTGTCAAAACACCAAACACGAAGTAAACAAACAAGTGAAAGTTGTTTGTTTATAGGGGAAGTAACTCTGATTATGCTAGGAATGTTGAATTCGGCTAACTGGGTTTGTCGACACAGTAATGTTATAAGTATCGATCTAACCTTGTGGGTGTTCTCCGGGTCCTCTGGTTTCCTCCCACTGCTAAAGAGCTCTTACGTGCAAGTGAATTATTGATATAAAATTGAATCATATGTTAATCCCAAAATGACCTAGTTTGTGTCTAGTGGATGTTAAACCCCATTTCTCTCTCTGGTCCACATGACATCTATGTTAACTTAATTAGTACCAATACCAACTCTTTGTTCTGTTTAGGCCTGGGGATCACGTGGCTAAGTGTGTAAGATGCTGGCTCGCTAGGCTGGAGGTCGTGTGTTCGATCCCTGCATTGGCCGAGAAAGTTCATCGAGATTTTCCGGGGTGGTTCCCCCTTGTCAGTGATGCAGGATGGAGGGCGTGACAAGGACAGCTGTCTAGTCCTTCAGATGACACGAACAACCGAGGTCCCGTGTATACATTAGAATGCACATAATAGATCCCTTGGCAGTTGGAGTTCGATATAAGAGTAGTCGATAGTGCCGCTGCCCGGGCAAAATTTCCCTCATAGTACACTGTATGGCGTATGCCCGTCTTCATTAGCCCAGCATAGGAGCAGAACAGTAGGACGTTAAACCCCATTTCAATTCATTTCATTTCTGTTTAGGCCTAGAAATAACAATTTTAGTTGTTCCTAGTACCGGATATTTTGAATTTTGAAAATATCATTAAAAACACAGAAAAGATAGTATCTGTTATTGTATAAAATTGAGACAGATATTGGTGATGCTGTAGACCGGTTTAAATCGGTGTCAAGGGCAGTAATATATAATGCACAGAAATTCAAACGATCAAGATGTTAAACTATTTTTTATTTTCAGGTTGATAAATTTACCAAAATATTAGAGAAATTACCACCTGGTGTTGAATATCCTAAGGTAAAATATAAAAATTTATTGATGTAGTAGATAAAAAATTGATAATTAAAACTAAAGACAATACAAAAAAAAAGAGTAAGCAAATGAAATGAAATGGTTTTCAGACGTGGTTTCCCCTTGTCAGTGGTGCAGGACGGAGGGCCTGACAAGGACAGCTGTCTAGTCGTTCGGATGGGACGAAAAACCGAGGTCCTGTGTACACATTGGCGTGTACGTAAAAGATCCCTTAACAGTTGGAATTCGATATAAGAGTAGGCCATAGTGCCACTGCCTGGACAAAATTTCCCACAAAGCACCCCATATGGCATATGCCTGTCTTCATTAGCCCAGTCGGAGTAGGACGTCAAACCCCATTTTTTTTATATTTACAGGTGTTTGTAGAAGAACATACATTAGAACGAGAACCTAATCAAGAGAAACATATGTTAGCTAAGATAACTATTAGTAAAAGATCATCAGATGAGACGTATTTCGGTGAACTGTATTTAGATTATGAATACAGTGTTAATAAAGCTGATGGTGGATGTTCTTGTCAGTAAGTATACAGACGATCTCATTCAAGTCGTTTTTGGGGGGGTTGGATGACTGAATGGTTAGCACGTGCGCACTCTATCATACTGGCATGGTTTCGAATCCCCGGTTGTACGTGACAAGGAGTAGGGTTGCCTGTCCAACCTCGTGGGTTTTCTCCAAGTGAATTATTGAAATAAAATTAAACCATGTGTTAGTCCCAAAATGACCTAGTTTGTGTCGAGTGGATGTTAAACCCCATTTCTTTCTCTCTACAAGTCATTTTTTATATCAATGATTTAAAGGAGCTAAATCACTAATATTTGGAACCTAGAAATTGACACAAATCGGCTACAACACATATAATAATGTAATACGAATGTATATAGACTGATTTACATTTTATTGTTTCTGTTTCACTGTAATTTCAAATCAGTTATGTTTGGCGAAATACGGCAAAAGTCTCAATCGAATGGCAATCTCTAGCGTCTAGTTATTCCAGTCTACACCTATAGTATTTATTGTGTATGCTCTCCAGATAAGAATATGGCGTCACCGTTTGACATGACTTGTGGAATATGTCTAGCCCCGTTCTTCAAGTCCCTTGTTACAAATGGCGCTAAATCCCATCTTTTCCTGGTAAGATCACAACATAAATGTTGATTTAAATGGATTGGGTATGGTCTTCAACACGTGTGCTGGAGCTTTAAAAAGTGATTCAATTGTTATTTCATATCGTGACAAATTAAGTTTAAAAATGGTTAATTTTTTTAAAGGGTACAAGATTAGAAAAACTTTGTTTGAGTATGATTAACAATCATCAATACTAGCATATATATAATTTCTAGAGGATAGTAATTTTTATTTTATATTTCAGGTTTATTTTAGGATGTAGAGATGATGTTGATAAGTAAGTAAATAGTAATCAAAATAAAAATCAATCAAATTACTACATTTATCATAAGATTAACTTGACACCAGTCTAACAGTAAACAAGATAAAAATCAATCAAATTACTACATTTATCATGAGATTAACTTGACACCAGTCTAACAGTAAACAAGATAAAAATCAATCAAATTACTACATTTATCATAAGATTAACTTGAAACCAGTCTAACAGTAAACAAGATAAAAATCAATCAAATTACTACATTTATCATGAGATTAACTTGACACCAGTCTAACAGTAAACAAGATAAAAATCAATCAAATTACTACATTTATCATAAGATTAACTTGACACCAGTCTAACAGTAAACAACTAAACAATAATTACCATTTTTATGCACCCACATTTTCGTCGCCTCTTTCCATCCGTTTGTCCGTTCACATTTTGTTCGTGGACACTCTACAGGTCCCAATTTTTATCCGATTTTAACGAAACTTGAAATATAGGTTTATCTCCCAAAGATCTCAGTTCCTTTCGAAATTGTCATGTATCGGGCCGTCACTTCATGGATTATGGCCCCTGATTGTACGAAAAATCACGTTTTTAGCTTGTGACACTCTAGAGGTCACAATTTTTATCCAATCTTGATGAAACTTCAAATTTTCCTGCATATTGGACTGTAACTTCCTGGATTATGGCCCCTGATTGTACAAAAAATCACATTTTGTGCTAGCTTGTTCTCTATTCATCTCTTTTTCTTCCATTTAATGAAAAGTGTTCTTTAAATAGTAAATTAGACGACTAAAATAAAAACCTATGTGATCTCTATGTTCATGGATAGAAATTAATTACCCTTAAGGACTTCAGTAGCAATAAAGATGGCAGAATGAAATCAATAAAATTAATATCAACTTTAGATGACAATAACTGATGTAATAATTGATTTCCACAATTTCTTGTGGACACTCTACAGACTATATTTATCATCTGATTGTGTTGAAATTGATATATGTTGTTTACATTAGTGAAATGAAGATGTCTATTTAATTTCAATAATTTCCGTTGATTTCGTCTAGAGTTATGGCCCTTGTTTTACTTTTGAACATTCAAATGACAAAAGTTATTATCTGATCTGTACGAATTTATATGCAATATTTAAATTAGTAAAACAAAAAATGATTTTGTCGATTTTCAACAATTTCTGTAAATTACTTCCAGAGTTAAGGCCCTTGTTTCAGTTTGTAGAACCTTTTTAACCCTTAAATGACAAAAATTACAAACTGATCTGTATGAAATTGTCTTGTAAATGGCCCCCCATTACCTACAAAGAATAAATATACCTGCTGTGGGCGTATGTTTTGTAGCCTGGCAACCTATCTTGATATCTTTTAGACCAATATGGTTTATGGTAAGACTACTTAATTGTCCCTTTAAATATGACTGTATTGTATATATTTGTTATTTTAGATATTTAAAGCAGTTTGAACAATTGTTTACTGAGGAAGGTCGTAGATTGGTTAAGATAACAATACAGAAACCAAACTTACCACCTCAAATAAACTATACACAAACTCCACAAGGACTCAATTCTACAAATATTTCTATCGCCCAGGCCTTCTTAAAACAAGCCAATCTTACTGCTACTCTTTCCTCACAGGTATGTTAATTTGATGAACTAAAATTCAAATCAGAGATAATTAGAGAGAGAGAAATGGGGTTTAAGTTCACTTGACACAAACTAGGTCATTTCAGGACTAACATATGGTTCAGTTTTATTTCAATAATTCGCTTGTACGTAGGGGTCTTTAGCAGTGGGAGGAAAATCTCTCTCTCTCTCTCTCCCTCTCTCTCTCTCTTTCTCTGTATTTACTAAGGCATTATGACAACTACAGGTATGTTTTGTTACATACCCTGACATGCAGATGGCGCCAAAACAAGACTTGATTAAGTGATACCGTCTTGTATCTGTTCATTAAGACATAAAATAGTGTCCTGATTTATAGTTTGAAGTACTCTTTAATTTACAAATACTCAATGAACCAAGTAATTTATTGTTGTTTGTTTTATTGTAGAATCAAGGCGAGAGTGGTGGTAGTAATAATTTATCAGTAAAACGTAGTATGCCTATACAGTTATCATTATCTATAGGTCATCCTCTCGTATCACAAGCTAATAATCTCATCAATCAACAAGCTAATATCACTTTACCTAGTAAGTATTTTAATACTTTATTTTACTTTATTATACATGTGAAGTATATGTAATTAATACTTTATTTTAATTTGGAGCCACGGTGGTTAAGTGGGTAAGACGCTGGCTCGCTACTCTGGAGGTTGCGTGTTCGATCCCCACATTGGCCGAGAAAGTTCATAAGGATTTTCTGACGTGGTTTCCCCTTGTCAGTGGTGATGGACGGAGGGTCTGACAAGAACAGCTGTCTAGCCCTTCGGATGGCACGAAAAACTGAGGTCTGGTGTTACATTGGCGTATACGTAAAAGATCCCTTGTCAGTTGGAATACGATATAAGAGTAGGCCATAGTGCCACTGCCCGGGCGTATGCCTGTCTTGAATAGCCCAGTCGGAGCAGAACAGTAGGAGGTTAAATCCTATTTCATTTCATTTCCCTTTATCTTAATTTATTATGCATGTGATGTCATAGTGATTAGGACACATGACTACCAGATAAAAGACATCATCCTGTACAAAAGAATGAGTGTATTTGAAGCTGTTTGAATTATTGCCCTTGTACACTTAAAAACAAATATTACAGATGCTCTACAGGCAAAGAAACATATTGATCTTAAAAAAAAAAAGTAGTAGCAATTTGGTAAAATAATATTGAGAATTTTGCCAAAATTTATACTTGTTTTTTTTTGTTTTTTTTCAGCAACAATTCAACAAACACAGCTTGCTCAGCAGATGCAACTTATACAAGCACAAGCCAACCAATCACAGAAACCCAAACAAACGGTTCATCACACGCCAACTAGGTGTGTGTATATATATATTATACTCTTGTTTTATTGGAACGGGGGGTTGGGTGGCCGAATGGTTGGCCCGTGCACGTTGTATCATTAGGTCTGTCATTCAGTCAACTGGCGTGGTTTTAAAAAAAAAATGTATGAAATATAGGTCAGATTGCCTTGAATTTTTTTTTTCTGTACTAGCTAAGAAAGAACTGATGAGTACACAAAATATGAAGTCTGCCGATTGAACCGGAAGTGCCACCATCTTGAAACATGAAAAATCCATAAGGCTTTTGCAATATTTTACTTACAGACATGGGAGTTACATTTTCTGAATCCTTGCAGGAATGCCTAAATATCTATCGGATCAGAATTATTATATCGGTCAACTGATGGTCATCATCTTGAACTGAATATGAGAAAAAGTGAAAAATCAACGATAACGGACATGAAAATGAAAACAATAGGCCGTAGTTTGGAGAATATGTCTCCTATTTTCAAAATGCGTACATTTCTGGGTAGCCCTGATCAGGGTCGAATTTATGGTACTTGAAAATGTCAAAATTTTGAATTTTGCCTTTGACGTTTTCCGTGCCGACAAAGTTGTTTACGAATGAAAAATCGCATTAACTTCGCGAGTTTTTGATCGATTTTAATGATTATTTTTTCTTGTTCAGATTCTTTATATGACCAATGACATGTAACAGGAAGTGACTGTGAATATGAAAGCTTTCATATCTGCTTCGCAGATCTAGTTATTATTATTATTATATTATTATAGGATACCGAGTGCAAATAAAACACCAAATGATAGTCCAGCTACTACACCAACTCATCAACCAGCAGGTATATACACATGATATTTACAACTTTCTTTCCTTCATCTGTCTAGAAAAAAACATTAAAACAGCTAAATCTGCCTATTGCACGTCTTTCTTTGGGTCTGTTTCCAGCGTGGTTCTTCCTTGTCAGTGATGCAGGACGGAGGGGCTGACAAGGAAAGCTGTCTAGTCGTTCGGATGGGACGAAAAACCGAGGTCCCGTGTACACATTGGCGTGCACGTAAAAGATCCCTTGGCAGTTGGAATTCGATATAAGAGTAGGCCGTAGTGCCGCTGTCCGGGCAAAATTTCCCTCATAGCACACTGTATGGCGTATGCCCGTCTTCATTAGCCCAGGTTAGGAGCAGAACAGTAGGACGTTAAACCCCATTTCATTTCATTTCATTTCTTTGGGTCTGAAATGTTATCTAAATTATTGATTGGACATTAATTAACTTATCCAGACCATAATCAACGCTCGATGCCATTGCTAGCCTGTGATATTTACTGGATTAGAATACAATTTGTGACAGATGATGAAATGTAAAAATGGATAATCGAATGTTTAACGCGTGCACATTGGATCATAAAGTCTGTCACTGAGTCAACTGACGTGGTTTCGATTCCCTGGTTGTACGTGACAAGGAGTAGGGTCACCTATACAACCTTGTGGGTTTTCTCTGGGTCCCCCGGTTTCCTTCCACTGCTAAATATCCTTATGCGCAAGCGAATTATTGAAATAAAATTGAACCGTATGTTAGTCCCAAAATGACCTAGTTTGTATCAAGTGGAGGTTTAGTCCCATTTCTCTCTCTCTCTCCTTGGACCATTATCAATTTGAATAGATTGGTGAAAATGCAGTATTTCTTCATTAATTTTATATAAATGTTAATAGGCCTACATCCAATTGTAACTTTCCTTTCAATAAGGTTTTGGTGGAATTTCAATCACCCCACAAAATCCACCATCTCTTCAAAAAGCACCAACGCCTACATTAACACCTCCACCTAATTCCCGTACACCTACGCCAACGTCATCTGGTAGTGGACGTAAAGTTAACGAGCAGACAACCAACCCTACAACATCTAATATACCAGCCATGAATCTGACGACCTATATTCAAGGTATGTACCAACGTAACTGGCAATTAAAACAGTTTTTAGAATTGATTATTGCTTTTCCCATTCTATTATTTAATTATCACTTGAAATTAATCTTGTTCATAATCTATTATTATACACCCACATTTTGATGTCTAAATGTTCACCTGTGCATAGCATATTTGCCCATAATAATGTTGATGTGTATAAAATATACCTGAAGTTATTAGTCGACAAATAGGTGTTATTTTAAAATATACCTGAATTATTTCCTAGGTCTTGTTTCATCAGCACCAACTTTATCTACTTCTTCTACACAAGGTAAAACTTTTATTAAATTCATTTTCATCTGTGTAATGTATACTTATTCCATTATCAATTGCTATATTAAAATAGAGGGGTTAGATTGCCGAATGTTTAGCTTGTGTGCGTTGTGTTATAAGGACTGTCATTGAGTCAACTGACATGATTTCGATTTCACAGTTGTATGTAACAAGGAGTAGGGTCAGCTGTCCAACCTTGCGAGTTTTCTCCGGGTTGTCCGATTTCCTCCCACTGCTAAAGACCCATATGCGCAAGCGAATTATTGAAATAAAATTGAATCATATCTTAGTCCAAAAATGACCTAGTTTGTGTCGAGTGGACATTAAACTCCATCTCTCTCTTACTCATAGAAGGCAATCTTGATTAAAATACAGATCTATATTTCGGTCCGTTTTTTTATTCTTTCGACCGGTTGTACGAGTGGCTTTGAACCAATCAATGTTGATGTTTCTAGTGGGTTACCCACAGTTCTGTGCAACTCTCCGTAACAGACCGATTCATTGGCTAATCCCTCACATCATTCAGAATGCTGGTTATATAACAACTCTTCCACATCCTAGTGTAGTAAAGACAAGTAAAACGAAATTTTGAACTATAAAAAAACGAAACGAAATAGGATCTGTGTTTTAAAAAACAAAACGAAATAGGATCTGTGTTTTAATCGTATTGTCATAGAAGGCCACTTAACAAGTTACCCTAAACTTTACTTATCAGAGATTGCCTGTTCTTAATGTCAAAGATGAAGCTAACAAAAAAGATGTTGAAATGAATTGATTTTTTTAAACTTTATTAATGATATTTATTGAATGTCATTTCAGCCATACATGCCGAATCAGGACAAAATGTGGGAACTAATATTAACATTACAAATATTGGTGGATTACCACAGAACTTTAATATCCAAGGTCTTGGACTATCAGGAATGAATCTGGCAAATTTACAAGGATTACAGAACATGCAGGTTTCATTAACTGGTGTTCCTAGTGGTGCTATAGCGGTGCCGATATCGATGATAAATAATAATCCTTCCATCTTACAGAATCAGACCGGTTTATTTGTAAGCTCCCTACCTACCTTATCAACATCTACATCATCAGCTGAACACACACCAGTTTCTACAATTCCTTCAGTTTGTCAGGTTTGAGCAAAGAGATTTTTTAATCCCATCCCACTTAACATTGATCGCTAATGGTTAAAGTTTACGGTTAAATTTACGTTACTTTTACGTCAGAATGGTTATGGTTAATTTTACGTGAGAAAATGACTAAAATCTAACGTAAATTTTATAACGGTTTTCTAACCATTTTTTTTTTCGCTTTGAATACTTGTGGATTAAATAACCATACCAGTGTGTCTACATTCTAACAATTAATAAATAGTTGGAATTCAGACATAATAATAACATATGTATTATTGGTTATAACTCGAACGTTAATCTAACATAAATTTTACGTCAGGTTTCTAACCGTTAGTTTATGGTTAGTTTTCATATTCCCTGTCCGTCCTCTGACATATTTCCAATGCTCGACCATTAACTTTGTGTTTATGGATTTTACGTAAATTTGATAGTTATAATTCCTTCATGAGAATTTCACTGCTGAGGCTGCTGAGAATCGGCTTTGACGACAACAATATACTACTAGTTGGTTTCGGAGGAATTGCAGCATAGAATGATTAAGTGGATTGCTTATTGTAATCACAAGTTTCCTATCAACAAAAAAGTAGGAAAACGATCAATCCTCAACAAAAAATGAAATTGTAAGGGGTTCGAGTCAGAAAACCTAGACACTATCTGATCTATCACAGCAAATAAAATCTTTCTGGAAATATTTGTCTAGTATTTGTTCATAATAGTCTTGAATACCTTCTTATTCCAGCTGACAGACCTTCCTTAAATGATGTCTGGTTCAAGAAAGCAATCAGCTCTTCAAAATTGTGCAGGTTTATTGTTTAAGGGACTTAAATACATTTATATTTATTTATTTCAGAATCCATCGTCTGCTGTAACTACGTCATCTGGTGTTGTTGTTTCTATAGTAACAGGTCTACCCACATCATCAACTACATCAGCCATATCATCAACAACAGTTTCACCACAAGTCATTATGTCTACAGGTACATAACACTTTTATCATACCTTTCAAATCTCTTTGTAACTTGGGTTTGGGTTTTCATCAGCTGTTCCTTCAATCTACTGATGAGATCTTGCTTTATTCCAATGAAAGTCTAGTATCTGTTTAATAAGATAATCCCCGATTGCTATAAGTTCAAGAATTACTATATGTACAAGATTAATAAGAGATCGTTAAATCAGTGTAGGATAAAGCACGAGACTGAGGTTATTCTGGGGGAAGAAAGATTGAAGAAAATAACCTGAGAAAAAGAAGAACCAAGGTTTTTTTCTGTAGTCTTTCTTTTCCAGCATAACCGAAGTCGAGGACTTTATCTTGCTTATAAACTGTCTATGTTTACATTAAGTAAAATGAGAATAGGACAGAATTCCAGTAAGAAATACCTTATATCATGTTTTCTTATGAAAAAAAAACACCCTATCTTGGAAGAATAACCCGTTTCAGTTTTAAAAAAAAACTTTCAGAAGAATAACCCCAAATTCCCCTGTATATATTCAAAGCCCCCCCCCCCCCCAACTTTCAGACCGAAAGTTATTCCGGGCATAGAATATATCCCAAAGATCAAAGAGATTTACCTTTATAGGTTTATAAGTGTAATGAAAAAATAGATATCAATCTGCATTAATTACAAAATAAAGTGGCTCAACATTTATTATTGTAGAAATACTATATGTTTCGAAAAATATATTTAAAGTTAAATAAACATGCGATGTCAGTCAAACTTATATTATTCTTATTTACTACTTTATATAATGTGTCGAGGGGTTGGATGGCCATGTGGTTAGCCCGTGCGCGCTGTATTATAAGGTCTGTCATTGAGTCAGCTGGCATGGTTTCGATTCCCCGGTTGTACGTGACAAGAAGTAGGGTCGCCTGTCCAACCTCTTGGATTTTTTCCCGTTCTCCGGTTTCCTCCCACTGCTAAAGACCCCTACGCGTAAGCGAATTATTGAAATAAAATTGAACGATATGTTAGTCCTGAAATGTCCTAGATTATGTCGAGTTGATGTTTAAACCCCATATCTCTCTCTCTCTTATATGATGTGATGAAAAGGGATTTATATGCCTTCATATTATGTTACACCCCATATTTTGTTTAAAGGATTTCTTCCAATTAGATTAATATACAGATCTTTTTTTGATGTTCTCGCACCCCATCTGGGTTTTGTTGGAGGTTATGTCATGTGTCAAGTTGGTGGACTTTGACAGTGACTATATATTTAATGCGCCCAGAGTATTTCATTGGCTAATAAGAACTAGATTTGTAGAAACCTCTTGTAGGTCCCAATGTAGAGAATATGAAATTACCTTAAATTGGTCACAAAATGATATTATGTTGGTGAGACTTTAAAATCCATTTCATTCCATTCCACATATCTAGATTTTAACTATATCAGTAACAAAGAAAATGAAAGTAGGATCTGTGTTTGCAAGCTTAAAGGTCACCTGAAAACCATCATAAATCTTCTAAATAATGCAAGTAATTATGTCAACATATCCTTTCTATACGTTTACCTCGAACCCGAATGTGAATATTACCTGAAACAGGTAAATTTCAACATTAGTAATTTCCACCCTACTCTATGAGTAGTCGTAACTTTCCATCAATAAACAATCTGTGACGTCATTTTAATCCTTCTGCTCATATTCTAGTCTATATTTCTGTGAGCAGAAGGACTAAAATGACGGCGTGGATTATTTATTGACGGAAATTACTAACGTTGAAATTTACCTGTTGCAGGTAATATTGACATTCGGGTTCATGTTATACTTATGAAAAGGATATGTTGACATAATTACTTGCGTTTTTTAAAAAAATTTAAAGCTTTTCTGGTGACTTTTAATTTTTCAAATGATTATGAGAAAGTACATACATACTTATTTATACCTTTCAAACATTTTGTCTTTGCTTCAATTTTTATGTGAAAATTTCCTGGTTTAAATTAAAAGTGAAAAAAAGAGTGGATTCGACTTTCTATCTGTTCCCATAATTGTATTAAACAAGTTTATTAAACATACATTATGCAAGAGCTAAATCTGCCTATTGCAGGTCGTTCTTGAGGCCTGAAATGTTACATAAATTGTTAATTAGACATTTATTAACAAAACAATACCATAATCGATGCCATCTTATGTATCCGATTTTCATCGGATTTGAATCCAATCTGCTGTTCAACGCTCATTAATGATTAAACACAAATATGGTAAATCAAGACTTTGTTTTTTATCGTGCCGACTTTAGGAATGATGATCGAGGTTAGGCCTAAAATTCATTCGCTAATATCTCAGTTCAGAGTGGAGCAATTTGCCTGGAATTTTAAGCATATTCCCTTTACATTATCAAGTTTTTAACTATTGTAGTGAGAACTGCCAGCTCTTTATCTAATCTTCCATAATTTCCCTTTAATTGGTCTACATTAATTTTATAAAATCTACATGTATATAAGAAAGTTTGACTGTCAATGTATGTCTTTATGTGCTAAAGTGCCAGTGATTTTTTTTTTTTTATATTGTGTGGTGCTTGTGGCGCATGTTGTTATGGTTGTCTATCTTTGTCTCCCTCGCAGGACTCACTTCCAACCCTACAACAGTTCTACCACAGTCATCTAGCATGTTGTCGCTGCCGATTGGACTCACACAGTTTATGCCTGTTGGCTCTAAAGGTCAAGCGAGTACGGGACTTCGGGCGTCTGCATCATTGCCACTGCTACAGGTGTGGGTTTATAGCTTTTTGTAATGCTCTATTTGTTAATAAGTACACTCATATTTATTTTTGATTTCTTCAGATATGTTTAAATTAAAACCACTTTGTCAGTTTAGAACTTAAATTATTTTGTGGCCTAGAGCCAAGAATTTAAATTCCTCATAAATTTTTAGGCCTCTGGTTTGATTTTTCGTATCTGAAGAAGATAAATATGAGGTTGTCAGCTAATTTACATACACATTCATTAGGTACAGATACAAAGTACGACCTGCCCTGTCTTCTGAAAATGATCGGCCGAAAGTTAAAGATGATAGAAAATAAAAAAAAATACATATCAGTACATATTGGTAAAAAGTACTGTAAAACAAAAAACCCAAAACCTTTCAAATAACCTTGCATTTTACTTTAGTAGGGTTAATCCCTTTTCAGAAATAGAAGCCATAAATATACTGTTTTTCATGTCTTGCTCACAAGCTGCAACTATTCCAGCGGGATCATGGTGGCTATGTGGGTAAGGTGCTGGCTTACTAGCCTAGAGGTCGGGTGTTTGAACCATTACTTGGCTGAGAAAGTTCATTCAGATTTTCTTGCATGGTCCGCCCTTGTCAGTGACGCAGAATGGAGGGCCTGACAAGGACAGCTGTCTAGTCGTTCGGATGGGACAAAAAATTGAGGTCCTGTGTACACATTGGCATGCACGTAAAAGATCCCTTGACAGTTGGAATTCGAAATAAGAGTAGGCCGTAGTGCCACTGTCCGGGCAAAATTTCCCTCATTGCATACTGTATGGCGTATGCCCGTTTTCATTAGCCCAGTTCGGAGCAGAACAGTAGGACATTTCATTTTTTTTTTTTTTTTCTTTGCAACTGTTCCAAATATAATCAGTCTAAAATCCAGTGTCTGTGAACTTATATAATGTTACTCTTGTTACCGAAGTAGCTGCTGTAAAAATACTCTATTTTATGACATTGTATTATTTTATTGAGATCAAACAAATATTAATTTTTGTGTGGAAATAGGTGACAAGGAGTAGGGTTGTCTGTCCAACCTTGTGGGTTTTCTCTGGGTCCTCCGGTTTCCTCCCACTGCTAAAGACCCCTATGTACAAGCAAACTATTGAAATAAAATTGAACCAATTGGACGTTAAACCCCATTTCACTCTCTCAAACGTAACTTTCACTTCAAATTTTCTCTTTAAATACCACCAGATTTAATATGATTGAGATTACGGCTCATCATAATTTCTTGCTGCAATATTTTCTTGTTTTAAAGTACAAACATTGTAGCATGAGTTGATCGATAGAAGATTTGGGTAATCGGTAGAAGATTTGGATAATCCATAGACGATCGGCCGATTGTACGAAGAACATGAAAGGGATTGTACTTTGGCTGAAGCTGCATGACAATATGCCTATATATATCTATATCTATCTATGTGCTATAATAAATTATACAAATAAAAAGGATAACATTTTAACGATACTTTAAAATAGATTAAGCTTGTTCATCTGCTGTGTGATCCATTTACCATATGTTAAACAAAATCTGAGTAAAATACAGATCTATATTTCGTTTTTTTTATACTTTCGATGGCCTCTACCATTTTGGGCACCAAATGCTTGGAAAATTTGGGCACACAATTGTACTTTTTAAAAGTTGTATAAAAAAATATTGTGTTCTTGAATGTGTCCAATTTAACAGCCAATTTATTATTATTATGTAACATACTAAGAACCTAACTACATTTTTTGGGCACCAACCACCACCGCCCCCCCCCAGTCAAAAATTTCCCCGTACGCCTATGGCCTCTACTACATGAAGATCTGACCAGTTGTAGTGGGAGATTGCATCAGGGGTCATGTGAGTGACTTTTGACCTATGACGTCAGAAATTTGATTAACCAATTAACCAGCATTGATGTTTTTAGTAGGATACCTACAGTTCCGTGCATAGCACGCCAAAACCTTGCTGCAATAGACCATTTCATTGGCTAATTCCTCACATCAACCAGAATGTGGGTTGTATAACAACTCTTCCAGATCCTAGTGTAGTAAAAACAAGTAAAACGAAATTTTGAACTATAAAAAACAAAATGAAATAGGATCTGTGTTTATAACATTTATTGTCAACATTTGAATGAAAAATTTCAGAAACAAATAATTAATCAAGACTTTAGTAAACTATTGGGTTTGTTTTTCAAGTATAATAGATTAAATCATCTTTCATTCAATTAATTTATTAATTTTCATCATTCATGTGTTTGATTTCAGTTGCAATTTGTTTGATGTGGGTTGAATTTCTGGGGTTTTTTTTGGTATTTGATAAAAAAAACAACACCCTGGGGAGAAATACTTGCATGAGGAACACTGGGTTTTTATTTGATGAATTAAATTCTTTCAAAGACTTGAATTCTTTATCCAAATAACATCATTTCGTATCTCTTATAAAAAGTCGATTGTGATGTTATTTCACTAATACATGTAATCATCTTTTTAGCCTTTCCAGGACACGTTTCTTAGATAAAATATTTGTTAACACTTCTCTTGAAGGCAGTATTTTGTTCGTATTTATGTGAAACTGGTTATTTTGTTCTAAATCATATAATTTTATAACACAAGGTACAATTTTATAGATACACAATACTAAGCGACGTTTTGAGGAGGATACTCTTGTCTTTACCAAGCAACGTATAACCACAAAGTATTATTAATTTGTTTGATAATGACGAGAGTATCATCGTCGAAAAGTCGCTTAGTATTAAACTCAGTAATTGTGTATCCATAAAATTGTACCTTGTGTTAATATGTTCAATCACTAAATGCCAATCAAAGAAGATATAATTTTATAGATCGATGTTTCCTTTCTCAAAGTATTTATAAAACTTGCATACATTTAAATCAGTTGTTATACAACTCTATTGAACAATATCAAACTTGCATATATGGAAGTTTTCAAATGTTTCATGAAACGTGTCCAAATGTTTCTATTATGTTTGAAATTTGAACAAGTGACAAAAGAATCTTTAGGAAAATAAAACCAGATCATGCATTTAACACAATCTTTTAAATGTTTAAAAAGTTCCAAACAAACTTTTATAATTTTCAACTCGGCAGCATTTAAAATGATTTTATATGTGATTTATATGTGACTTTTTCTACAGCTACCAGGCCAACAATCTATACAACATTTAATCCTGCCACAGCAGAGAGCTCAACTCAAAAATCCTGTAAGTCAAGGTCATCTGAACGTTGGTAGAGGTCAAACCACATCTGGTACATCAGCAGTTCCTATATCTACAGGTAAGATTCCATACAGGATCAGCTCCTGTAGAATGAGAAGCAATGTTTGGTCCATGTATTTTTGTGTAAGAAGTTAAATTTGCAGACAGAATTACCTGTTAATATCCTTTGTGGCTAAATCTATTAAGACCAGCTCTATTTTTGTTAAGGTCGTTTAGATGTAAATAAGGTTAGGGCATGTCATTGTTGGCGAGATGCAGGTTAGGGTTAGGGTAAGCGTTGGGGCTAGGTCTAGGGTTAGGGTTAGGGTTGGGATTAGCACTAGGCCTCGCTAGGCCTGTTTACATCTCATGACCTATGACAAAAAATTGAGCTGGCCTTGTCATTTAGTACTAACCATCATTTGTCAAGTATAACTTCAAATTGACAATTGTAAGGGAATGAGAATTTGTTATATTTCATTGTGTAACATTAATCGATGACCTCAATAAATTAGAGTAATTGAAATTGACTTTCTTTTTCAGTTTTAACTCAGAGTCAAGTAGCAGCACTTTCTTCACTCAAGCACGGACAAGCTACACAAGGTACTATCACAGCTCAACAATTTATGCAACTAACTGGTCAATCAGGTGCCACCATACAGCAATCACCACAGCATCCTACCACACAGCTAACATTTCAAAAACCTCAACAAAATCAGCCATTACAGTTTCATCATTTACAAGTCAAACCCAATACAACCATACCAACACAAAATGTCAAACCAAAAACAAAGAAAAGAACGACACCAACTCCGCCGAAATAATGTAGAACATTTTCTGTAGATCGTGTATCCGATAGTCTCTATCATCCAGAAAAATATTCTACGAATATTAGTCTGGATGCGTTGTCAACATTTGAGAATAATAGGTCATTGACTAGATTAAATGGTCTTTTACATTATCATAAACAAAGTCTAAGGGAGGTAACTAGTCCTAAACAAAGATGTTGATGCCCATGAAATTAATTTAAAAATGCCATTAATTTGATTGCATTGTCAGTTCAGTATCCATCACTCTTAATTTTATTTTTTTTGTAAAATTTCTCTTCATGGGCCATATCTATGTTTTTTAATTAACCCTAACTCTTTGTCACGATTCATGTTTGTTTATAATAATGCAAGAATTGTGAGATTTATTGTGGGAAGGGGCGCAAATCTTATTTGACTTGGCGAAAAATACTGGATGGGCATGGGCAATAAAACTTTTCGTCAAATATTGACAACGGTCCCAGACTCTCCGTACCGATTTAATTCTCTCAATCTTATGAATGGTGACATTCTGAGAAACCTATGCCATGTGAATACAATCATATCTCGATCATCAAGTCCATAACTGAAACAAGTTTCCATGTGTGATTGTGTCATAATTTTAGTTAATCCTTGGGATGGTGAATAGAACCAATCTGATTAAAACAGAGATCCTATTTTATTCCATTTTTTATTATTCTGGTTGAAGTTAGGGATTAGCCAATGAAACGGTCTGTTACTGCGAGTTCTTGATGTACGATCCACGGAACTGTGGGTAAACCACTAGAAATGTCAACGTTGATTGTTTAATCAAAGCCTGACGCCATAGGGTCAAAAGCCCCTGACACGACCTTACACTACAACCAGTCAGAACTTCATGTAGTGTAGGCCATCAAAAGTATAAAAAAAACGAAACAAAATATAGATCTGTATTGTAATCAGATTGATTCAGAATGTTCTGGCTCAAAACTCAGAATCAAGAAATCCCCATCTTCGCTGATTTGGTATCATGAATTGTTTGAATCTGATTAAATTGAGGCAGTGGTGATTTTAAAGGAGCTAAATCGCTAATATTTGGGACTTAGAAATTGACACAAATGGTTCGCACCTCATATAATAATGTAATATGAATGTATATAAACTGATTTACATTCAGTCATTTCTGTTTTTACTCTAATTTATAATCAGTTATGTTCGGTGAAATGCACCTAAGTCTGAATTAAATGACAATCTTTAGCGTCTGGTTATTCCAGTCTACACCGATGGTATTTATTGCGCATGCTCTCCAGATAAGAATATAGCGTCACCATTTGACATGACTTGTGTAATATATGTCTAGCCTTGGTCTTTGAGTCCCTTGTTCCAAATGGTGCTAAAATGCATTATGGTACACGATTCGTGTACCAATGGTAAAATGTTTATTTTGTCTTGAATATTGGATATCAGAAGCCCATCTTTTCCCTGTAAGATCACAAGACCAATGTTGATTTGAATTGACAAATAATTCGTGTTTTCTACTTTAAATAGGCAATTACATTTTGTTTTTCCCTTTTATAGATACATGAATATTGATAGAATATAGCATGTCTTCCATTTGATTGAGGCAGGTCAAACATTCAATGAATGGGGTTTATCATCCTACGTAAGGCCTAATGAAGACAGCCATATGCCATACAATGTGCTATGACTACTATGAGGGAAATTTGTACGCAGGACCTCGGTTTTTCATCCCATTGGATCGACTAGGCACTGTCCGTGTCAGGCCCTCCGTCCTGGATCACTGACACCGGAAAATCCTGAAGAACTATCTCGGTCAACACCGGGATGGAACCCAGGACCTCTAGGTTAGCGAGCCAACATCTTACTCACTGATTGAGAAATTATTTGTTTTTTTAATCAAAATATTTATCAGTAAAAGTTGATAAATATTTTCTGTTCCTGAGTGCCCATATAACACAAAGTATTTATTTAACAAATAAATGAAAATATTTAAATCATTGAAGCTGCTATGTGTTACTTAATAAAAAGTCATTTCCATAGAAATTTAATGGAGTTATTAGATATATAGTCATAATATACAATAATGTTTTTTTACGTATACAGTAAATAAATGTATTTGATGTTTTGATGAATAGATTGATGTGTTTATTTAATGACAAGGATTCTGTATGACATGTAATAAACTATTATATTTTTGAAATGTTAAAGATTATGTGTGAATTAATTGTAAATAATGTTTTAATAATAATGTTAGTATGTAGACTATACATACATACTTAGATTATCACTTCTTTTGTATAAATAATTATATCATTTCTGATCATTTTACCTATTTTATCTAGTAAATAATGATATTATTTTAGTTCACTATGTATATATATATATATATTATGTTTTTTATTGTATAAAGAGTTATTCATTAAATGGCATTTAGTAATTGGAATAGAATCAAATAACTCAGTAATTATGGATAACAATTACTATGGTTTATTTCACTGTGATGTTTCAACAAGATTTCACAAGTCGTTATCAAGCATGTACACAAATAGATAAATAAAGGAGAAAGATATGAATATATATATACAAACATCAGTGCGAACTATCCAGTGGAATGCTAGGATACAAAACCATAGTAATTGTTATTCCATAAAAGTGTCTTATTTGATTATAAAGAGTCATAACAAACCATAATACGCAAAACTACCAGTCAATAACATCATGTCTCTATACATTTTGGAATTGCGCAGAATAATTTTGTTTGTTTTTTTGTAGCTTCCATGTTCATTATTTCTCAGACAAAATGGAAAATTCTTAATCCATATTGAATTTTCCATGCTGGAAAAGCACTAAAGTATTGAAATACAAGTCATAAAACACATGTAAAGGAAACACATTTTTATATGCCCACATTGAAATATGGTTGTATATTTTCTTTGCCCTGTAGGTCCATCCTTCAGTCCGTCCGACACATTAAGTTCTTGAGAAGAAGAAACCTATTGATATTTAACGATTTCAATTAAATACTGTTAGAGTTATGGCCCTTGATCAATTTGAAAAGTTTTGTGGACTCTCTAGTGGCTATGGTTATCAGACAATTTACTGAAATTTATACAAAGGGTTTATTATGTTCATTCAGTCAAAAATCCTATTGATTTTCAACAATAGTTACGAGCAGATATATGGCCCTTCACAATATGAAAACTCTTGTGGACGACTTGGCTACTGTGGGCTTATATGCCCACATTGAAATATGGTTGTATATTGTCTTTGCCCCGTAGGTCCATCCTTCAGTCCGTCCGACACATTAAGTTCTTGAGAAGAAGAAACCTATTGATTTTTAACGATTTCAATTAAATACTGTTAGAGTTATGGCCCTTGATCAATTTGAAAAGTTTTGTGGACTCTCTAGTGGCTATGGTTATCAGACAATTTACTGAAATTTATACAAAGGGTTTATTATGTCAATAAGTCAAAAAGCCTATTGATTTTCAACAATAGTTACAAGCAGATATATGGCCCTTTATAATATGAAAACTCTTGTGGACGACTTGGCTACTGTGGGCTTATGATTCATTTTCAAATAATAATAATCTTTATTCAGATCTTACAATGAGACATGTGAATACATTTTGGTTTATACTTGTACAGAAAAGAATAAAGAAACATATCTAATAAAAGTTGTTAGTTTTCTTTTTTAAAATTATACTGTTCCTTGAATATGTATTATTGGCTGAAGATTTTATTCAGACAGACTGGCAGTGGAAACAAAAAAACAACAGCTTGAGCAAGTAAAAATAATGTAACTTAAATTAAACATACATTTTGCAAGAGCTAAATCTGCCTATGCAGGTCTTTCTTTGGGCCTGAAATGTTAATTAATTAGACATTAATTAACTTATCCAGACCATAATCAACTTTCGATGTCATTGCTAGCCTGCTATATTTAACTAATTGGAAAACATTTTCTGAAAAATAAACGTAAAAATGGATAATCGAGACTTTGTTTTGTATTGTACCGACTTTAGTAATGGTGATCAAGGCTAGGTCTAAAATTCAAAAGCTAATATCTTGGTTCAGAGTGGAGCAGTTCTATTTATGTTATCTATTTTTTAACTATTATAGCGAGAACTGTTAACTCTTTATCTAATCTCCCATGATGCCCCTTTAAACCCTTTGAATCGATACCCTGTATGGCTAATTCTGTGTGTACAGGGCATTAGTGAAACCTATTTTGTAATGGCTGAGAATTGATTTATTAATTGGCTCCATGTTTTGTTTCATTGTCTTTATGAAACACTCAACAAGAGTTCTTTTCATCAATTGTGTATTATTATGATAAATATCTGATTTAGAGTTATATTGATTTCTGGCAATATTCATTTAAAATCGAAGTCTTGGATACATTTTAGAGAATAATAGACCTGTTGCTTAATAGCCTCTTAGAAACATTTGTCCTAACTAGACCAGTGAAACTATCTAACGCTATATGATAGACCTACTTTTTTACGGGTTCTAAAAATCTTTGTAGGCCAGGGCACTCGGATAACGATGTATATATTTGCCGAATTTATAGTGGCCTATTGCAGGTCTTTTTTTTTTAGGCTTCAAATGTTATATAAACTATTATTTAGACATTTGACAAGCCTACAATCAACTCTCTGACATTTAAATGGATTGAAACATGCCATTTAATAATTTAATTTAAAACTGGATAATCTAGACTTAGTCTTGATTGTCAAGTAGGCCAACTGTTACAGTTGCTACGATAGTAATCAAATCACCATTACATCTTCAAACACTTGATAACTTTGCTCAGAATAAAGTAATTTGAAAACATTTTTCAATATATTCATTTTCTATTTATTAATTACTATTGTGGAAGAAGCGTGATATTATGACAAGAAGGGCCAGCTCTTATCTAAATCTTACATAATCTTTAAGGAAATCTAATGATTAATGACTAAATATTTTAATTTAAAGGAAAATGGGTTATTTCTTCGCATATTGACTATGATTTACATACCGGTAAACAAATAGACTTTTATTTATGGTTTCCTGAGAAATATGGGACTGTCTCTTTAAACTTCAAAATTCAAAATTAGGCTACCGCCGTAGGCCTGTACACCTTTATTTAAAACCTGTGGTAAAACTAATAGATAATAGACTGGGTTAGATGCATTTCATATTGTGGGCTGCAGAATTGAGATTGTGGAGTTGACGTATTAACCCGTGTTACTTTAATTTTTGTCTCCAATTAATTTATCACGCTAACGTAACCAAGGAAACATTTTAGAATCCCGTGTCGCTACTTTCGATTGAATGTCAGCGGAACAATTATTTCTACCAATGAGAAATCAGATTTTTCGAGTCTCCTATCTGGCGCATGCGCACAATGAAATTCCTGAGTATTTTGTTTTACTTAGAAACATTACTATTATCGTGCATGATATTGTGATAAATTTGTAAATAATTCAAATCGATCAAACTTTGAACGGGAGAATATCACGCAGTATGGGGTGCTTTTTTTCGAGCTGTAATTTTGGCGGACGCGAACATTTGGAAGAAAACTTCGAAGATGCAAATGAACAGCAAAAAGTCTACTCGTGGGATAAACGAGATAAAGTGAACGTGCAAGACTTCATTATAGATGGCATAAAAAACGACACAGTTGGACGGTTACCTGGTGATGTCCATGGTCAACAAATAGTTATACAAAACTGTGAAAATTGTAATATTTATATATTTGACCATACAGTGACATTAACTGTAGATGATTGTTCTGACTGTAATATATTTTTAGGTCCAGTTAAAACCAGTGTTTTTATAAGAGATTGTAAAAACTGTAATATTGCAGTTGCATGTCAGCAGTTCAGGACAAGAGATTGCAGTAAAATAAATGTGTATTTATGTTGCGATACACAGCCTATTATTGAATCTTCTAGAGGAATGAAATTTGGATGTTTTCAATATTTTTATCCAGAATTAGAGGGCCAATTCAAAGCAGCAGGTTTAAGTGTCTATAACAACAATTGGAGTAAAATTCACGACTTTACTCCGGTACCAGGAGAAAATAATTACAGTTTGCTAACATGGGAGGCAAATTTAGAAGATGTGTCTTTGTTAGTGCCATCTGTCTCAGCCGAAAAATTTTCAGGCATTCAAAGTCAAATATCAACAGAAAACAATAAAAGTGTAGTACCGTATACGTTGGGTAGTCGCAGAAAGACGTCGAACGAGTCTTGTCTTGTCGTGTTATTTCCTGACCGGGTTTCATGTGTCAGAGCAGCGACATTCATTGAATGTCTTAGAACGAATGGCATGTTCACACTAGCACAGACTAAAGAGGTTGCTATGCTGCCTGAAGATTCTGTGAGAGTATTTGGTTCGGATATGTATTCAAATGCAGTGAAACAAGGCAAAGTTATAGGATTCGAAGTAAATGGCATTGGATGTATTCAGTTTTGTCAAGAGACTGTCAAAGATCTTCTACAGGGATCTACAGGAGTCGCGTTTGTCAGTCAAAGTCAAGAAGAAGCTACTCAGAATATTGACAATTTTTATAATTTTGCAGACATGCAGATGGGTGTGTGATAATAATAATAGGCCAAAGCACTGGCATCTGAAAATAGACATTTTTTACTTTTATGTCACAAATTGACGCAAAAAACATAAATTCGCATAATTATTGTATATTGAATGATTTAATTTATCAGTTACAAATCCATCCAATTATTTTTAATAAACTTGTAAATGTGAACTATGGTGTTAATGAGTAAATGACAGCATTTTAGCAGGTGTTTACTTCTCAGGTGTGGTACACACCCATAATCTTAAAAAGAGCCATTGTTTATTGCATAATATTTTAAAGTTCTCTGTAACTTTGATGTTGGTAAATAATATTGACATGAGTTATATAAATATTATTTCATTCTCGTTTTATTTCATTCTCGTTACCAGATGAGTTATGTTATTTCATGCTTGTTGTCAGATGAGTTATGTAATTTCATTCTCGTTACCGGATGAGTATATCAATACATCACCTTTATTTTGTCAACACCAAGGTCAGCTTTTGTATAATTCATTGGCTGTGTCGTATTCATGACATAATTGTTTGATATGGTTATTCATTTTGATTCCCAAAGCACACTATGAGGTTAATTACAAGGGTAGGAGCCTAATTAAATATATATTGTGGGAGATTAAAGAGCTGGCAGTTCTGACTGTAATAGTTAATAACTAGATAATGTAAAGGGAATTTGCTGAAAATTTCAGTCACATTGATCCACTCTGAGTCTGAACCAAGAATTTAGTAAATGTCACAGGCTAGCGATGAGATCGATGCCATAGAGAGTTGATTATGGTCTGGATAGGTTAATTAATGTCTGATCAATAATTTAGATAGCATTTTAGGCCTAAAGAAAGACCTGCAATAGCCAGATTTAGTTCTTGCATAATGAGAAGCCACTGATATCAGGGATGGTCACTTGGGCTTTTATTCTAATGAATTCTTGTGTAGTAGGCTGTTGTCATTGAACTTGTTTTATTAATGTATTTGGTGAATTCTGTTTTGTTCATGTTTTTGTTTTGATTGGTTTATAAATACATGTACTATAATTGCTTGCTTCACACCTTTTTGTCAGTGTCAATTTATATTGGTGACTCCACAAACTGTTGTAGCAGCAGCTTGAGATTTAATTGGAGATAACATACGTTTTGCTTGGATGGAGTTAAACCCCAAATTTCTTTTCCCAATGACACAGTCTTCGTACATTTCATCCTTATATTGCAGGGCGGATGGATGGCCGAATAGTTAGCACGTGCACGTTGTGTCATAAGGTCTGTCATTGAGTCAACTGGCATGGTTTCGTTTTCCCGGTTGTATGTGACAAGGAGTAGTGTCGCCTGTCCAACCTTGTGGGTTTTCTATGGTTCCTCCGGTTTCCTTCCACTGCTAAAGACCCTATGCGCAAGCTAATTATTGAAATAAAATTGAACCATGTGTTGGTCCCAAAATGACCTAGTTTGTGTCGAGTTGACGTTAATTCCCATTTCTCTGACTCTCCCTTTTATTGCAATATCATGGTAATTAATTTTTTTATTAGAAAAAATAGATAAATTCATCCAACTATTAAGAAAACATATACGATCGTACTATGGACCAGGAATTGATCAAGTTGTTGGATGAAATTCAAAAATCTAATTCGCCAGATCATTGCAGAATTGATCAAATAAGAAACATGCCAATTTTCATGTCGATTGGACTTGAATTGACGGAGCGTTAGGCTTTTCGAAGAGCATCACCCCAAGAACAAGGAGGAGATGGGAGTAGCAGTTAGCGACCAGTTCCTGGTCCCAAGAAAAAAAAAAAAAAAGATTTTTCAAATTCTCTGCAGAGGCTTCCAGAAAGATTGAGAGGTATGGGGAATACTCACTAGTCCGCGGGTAAAGTAAGTCCACCGATATCTATTATTAGGGTTACGGTTGGGTTAGGTTTAGGGTTCATTAATGATTAGTCTACCAATATCTATTATTAGTACCAACTGATCCATTGCAGAATTCGTAACAACAAAAGTAATTTAAACTTCCATAAATTCCTTATGAATATTAGTGATAACCCAATGTGCCCATGTGGCCATCAAATAGAGAGTCCCGAACAGTATTTTCTGTACTGTAATAATTATTCAGCCATCCGCAATGCAACTATTAATAAACCGCCATATGACAAACGGGCTAAGGTAACAATGATCTTGGTGATGATGTAAACGAAAATATATTATAGTTCACGATTATTTAAAACTAACAAAACGTTTTGACACATAGAAAATCATTTTTGCGAACGACTGGAATACGTCTTTAAATAAATAAGTAATAAATAATTAATCTTCAACATTAACTGTATATCTAATGTAATTTAATTAGTTGGCTTGGTGGTTAGAACGGTTTGTTACTCATTTATTTATCTTATTAATTTACATTGTTGAATTGAACTTTCGTCGTCAAGATACAAATATATTATCATATTCTTGAAATATCAAAAGTAAATAACATAATGAAGCAAATTTATATAAGCTTTTAGCTTGTTTTTGTATCATCTTTAAAACTGTAATGTATTAATATTGTTTAAACCATATCTATTATTAGGGTTAGGGTTAGGCTGATTGATTTATAGTATTTCTTATAGTGCCGGACTGGTGAAACCCTCTCGGGGATACAGTGCAATCAAGTAATAAAGCCCTAAACAATCTAATATTAACAAGTCTAAATTACAGAATGTCAGTTATGACAAGAACTTTAGAAAATTACGTTGGATGACCGTTTGTTTAATGAATGGGGGGGGGGGGTAAACTAACTTACTTCAGGCTTGTTCTGTATATATGGTGGCATAATAATTTTTATTGATATATTTAGAGATATTTATTATTTTTATCGTGGAGCACCCTACCCTGGGGGCTGGGATACGGGTAAAGTGAACGCAGCTACACAAGTATGATTGGGATTCAGGTCGACAATATTCAGTAAAGAAATATTGTACCACTTCTAGAAGGTGTTGTACTCCTGGGCTCGAATAGCAGGAAACCGCGCTATCTAATTTTAGATATTTTCTCGGGGAGCCCTACCATAGCTGACAAAAGCAGTCTGCACCCACAGCGCTCTTTATCTAGACACCGGTTTCGCAGATCGATACTCCGTGTACTCTTAAACGAGAATGTTTTCGGCATTTCATTTATGGTCCTCTCCTCCAAAATCCAGATGGGTATAAGGTGAGATTTCGGTTGCAAGACAGACAACATGAATAAGGCTGCGTATTGGGCAACTTTAATATATTGTATACTTTCGGCCTCGAAGAGTATGGAAAAGCGCTCAACTTTGGTTTGAATCATTGGCTTCATGAGAGGACGACCCCTATCGATATTCAGCGTTCCATTGTCTTAAAATCACCCCCGCACCCCCAAACAGAACAGTTCTTAGTCAAATTAACAATTGCCAGATTTTTGGTACAGCTTCAGAAATATTGCAAGACGAAATTGACTTCTTATTTGTTTTTTTATCACCCTGCATGTAAAAACGTTTGGTGAGCCTCATTCCCTGTTACATCTTATACACCCGAAAGACCAGTGAAACACACAAAATAATGAAACTTGCGCAAAGTTTTATTCAAATTTATAATTTGTAAACAATCAACAATTAAAATAGTATTTATACATTATGGTTATATCAGCATTCATTACAGTTACATGGTATGCATCGTCATCATTTCCCAAATCCTGAAAAAAATTAAAGATACATTATAGAAAATTAGATAAAGAGCTGGCAGTTCCCACTATAATAGTTGAAAACTAGATAATGTAAAGGGAATTTGCTGAAATTTCAGTCCAGTTGCTTCACTCTGAACTGAGATACTAACGTTTGAATTTTGGGCCCAGCCTCAATCATCATTATTAAAATCGGTACGATAAAAAATATAGTCTCGATTATCCACTTTTGGATTTAATCATGAATGAGCGTTAGGCAGCAAATCGGATTCAAATCCAGTGCAAATCCCACACATAAGATGGCATCGAGAGTTGATTATGGTCTGGTTAAGTTTATTAATGTCTAATTAATAATTTAGATAACATTTCAGGCCTAAAGAAAGACTTGCAATAGGCAGATTTAGCTCTTGAATAATGCATGTTTTAAAATAAATAGAAGACAATTTAATGTGAGAGTTGAAAATCATAAACATGTACTTTCTTTAGTACTATTGAATCTCTTGCAAACTACAATATTGTCAACGGTTAATTCCTAATATGAATATACGTCCAAAAAAGCGGTTCAGACCTTTAGAAAAGTATGTCATTTCTAAGTTTATATTAATGTATTATTCACAAATAACTTATTTTTCTTTAAATTAGAACAATGTAAAATATGGAGAGGAATCAACGGCATAATTCTAACTGCTAATCTATATCTAAGAAAAGAAGATCTAATAAGTGGGCTTCTAGACACGATTATCTAGATACTACTGCAATTATCAGTTTGGCGCCTTAGACAATCTAATAGAACTTCAAAAACGTATATAATTATCACAGAGCTTTGGATAGTTTCAAGAAACCGGAATAATTGTTCACACTTAAAGGCTCAATACCACTCTTGTTGTAACTGAATTATATGTCCCAATCTTTATTCTGGTCAACAAATTGTACTATTTTACAATATTCAAATTAATTGATGATACAAATTTCATCTTAACACACCTAATTTAAAAAATTGGAAAAATTCAACTAAATGATTTGAAAAGCCTGACGTAAAGCTTTTCAAATGTGACTTGGATTTAAAAATATTTTTGAACCCTCTGGACAAGTAAAATAGGATTTAATGGATAATTTACACAACAGGTAGGACACTAACACATCTAGTACTTAGAATAAGGCTATTTTTTATTTTCTGGAGCTGTCAAGCCAGCAAGAGTGTTATTGTCCCTTTAAGTATTCACTTGTTTTACAAAACTATGTCTAAGACAGGTCCTTTAAGGCAAACCTTATTTAAATAGATAATTAGACAGAAAACAGGCAGGGCTGGACTAAAATAGTGAACAGAAAACAATGGAAACTTCGGGCAATGCGCTGTGATCAGATTGAAAATTTATCCACAATTAGAACTTTTATCTAAAATATCACTGATTGTTCCCATAGATTCTATTGCCTGTTTAACTTGGCCTTTCCGGTGTTTCGTTATAGATAGGGTAGCTAACTCTCACGGACCCAACGAAAGGCCAAAATGAGTTTCTGTGGAGCTTTATTTATTACTATGTATACAAAAATGATTTACCACGGATACACGTGCAGGCGTTACAGTTACAGGCTCGTGAAATAAACGGATGTCTACATTTGAAAGTTCCACATCTACCAAGACAGTAACATTTTTCAACATCTGCAAGAACAAATAAGTACAAAATTACATTAGTAGAATAATCAGTGGCTGACGCAGGATATGTGTTTGGAGCGGGGCGGGGCTTGTCTTTCACTCGCCCGAGAAAAATTGGTTATGACTTTGTAATGCAATGTGGTATACAGCGACAATTCCGCCGACACATTTTCGAACTCATCTGCCAAGATCTGTTTTACGTAAAGAAGATCCCTTGGTGGTTGAAATTCGAAAAAGGCTGGGCAGAGGCGTGCTGGGTCTCTGACGGAGAGCAGGCAGACCAAACTTAGGTCACTTCTGAGGGCAGCGCCAGGAAACCTTTGTTTCTGTGGCACATGCTTAAATCGATTTGATGTATATTTAACATATATTTGAGCCATAAAGTACCATATATTGACACTTGGTTGGGGTGGGGGGGGTATGATTAAGTCCTGAAGATCTGAACATGAACATAGTTAGCAATAATCAAGAACTAAACGACCTACGAGTAAAGAAAAACAAGCATCAAAAGGGATTGGTATTCCTTACAAAGCGCACCTACCAAGTTTCATTCGATATCGTTCGCTATTGAAGGAGGAGTAGCACTTATATTAGAGTAAACAGTAAACACTCCATTACAAGAAAGAGAAGATGACCAAGATTTAGACACCGCCCGCGGCACACCGGTGTAAATGTTAACTTAATAAGCCTGGCCAAAAAAGTTACTAATCCTAATGACAGTATGACAAAATTGTCCACAGACCTTTTGAAAAGACTTTTGATTCCTCAGAACATAGTGCAATTTAATCATCTAGATATGACTAGAGTTGGAAAGAAGAGGAAGGGGGGGGGGGGGGTCAAAAAAGGTCTCGCCCCAATACTTTTTTTGTCCTCTCAAGGTCCCTGTCGACGACACATTTAACCCAAAACGTTTCCCTTCTAAGATAGTACATATATATACAAAATAGAAAAGTATGAAGTATGAAATTTATAATTACGGTATTATAACTTACGCGCTTCTGTTACTTGAGACACAATCAACAAAGCAACAACCAATACAACAATAACTGTAGCAGACTTCATCTTGATTATTAGCTATGTGTGTTATTATGGCTTATGTAACTTGCCTATGATTGTCAACAAGCCTATGTGTTTGCTATGTGAAACAATTCTTGTATTTATACTCTAGCGATACTGGAAATATAACGGTAAACACACACAAAAACCGTATCCGGGACATATGTAATGTTTGATATACCATTTGAAACAAAACATCCTGTTTTCGAAGAGAACTGAAATTTCCTCCTCTTTTTTTTTTTTTTTTTTTCGAGGTAGAATTATAATGTCAGTTGGTCTGAGTAATATGCAATTACGCATTTATAATTTGTGTGATTATTATAACTTTATTATAAATGCAGAAAACATAACTTATTTAAGTATCCTATATAATCGTATATTATTATAACGAGTATTATGGATAGACATCTGTTAAATCATTAAATTTTAATATCTAATGATCATTATTATGGAAACAGTTTTATGGTTTAATGGTCGAGAGCGAGACATTAAAGATACATTATGTAAGATTTAGATAAAGAGCTGACCATTCTTGCTATAATAGCTCAAAAATAGATAATGTAAAATGAAAATATTGAAAATTTCATTCAAATTACTTCATTCTGGGCCAAGTTATCACTGTTTGTAGTTTTGACAAGATGTGTTCATTGTGGTAACCAGACCTAACCTCGCTTTCCCATTTTTAAATTAAATTTTTAAATGGCGAACCATTCTAATCTAATTAAAATCTCGGGTAGCCGATGTCATAGAGATTTGATTATGGTCTTGTTTTGTTAATAAGTGTCTAATTAAAAGTTTATATAACATTTCAGGTCTAAAGAAAGACCTGCAACAGGCAGGTTTAGCTCTTGTTTTAAAAATAATATATTGAAACAACACGAAGTACGAAAATGCACACCACGATTGTTATGGACGATCGACGACGAATGGGCTTGATTGGATTTAAAGATGGGTTAACCGTTGTCCAGGGATTAAGCAAAATACTGCACACGAATGGGTTAGATTCAATTTGATATATTGGATTAGGCGTTATCATCTCATTAAGGAAACTGTTGATCAATCTACCGTGATTGATCCCGAACTTTTACGTTAGTGGATTATGTTAATCCATTTATTTATTTACTTACAAACAATATTACCTTGGAGACACGTGACATGGTGTATATGTATATAAGTTAACTTTGAATCTATCATTAACAATCACTTTCTGTCTTCTACAGTTGTCTTCACAGTTAACCCTTTAAACTTTCAACATGAGAGAAATCGTTCATATGCAAACTGGCCAATGTGGCAACCAGATCGGAGCTAAGGTAAGTTTTATTCATACTGCATTATTTGATTACATTTCAGATAAAAACAGACAACAGAATTGTTTAGATATTATACATGAAAAAATCTAAATATTAAATAAAATTACCGTAGAAGAGAAGAGGATTATCTTTTAACGTGTCTATTATCTTATTTTCAGTTCTGGGAAGTAATCTCTGATGAACATGGTATCGACCCAACTGGAACTTATCACGGTGATTCTGATCTTCAGTTGGAGAGAATCAACGTTTATTATAATGAAGCTACAGGAGGAAAATATGTACCCAGAGCTGTTCTCGTCGATTTGGAACCCGGTACCATGGATTCTGTACGATCAGGACCTTTTGGTCAGATCTTCCGTCCAGATAATTTTGTCTTTGGTCAGAGTGGTGCCGGTAATAACTGGGCTAAAGGTCATTATACAGAAGGTGCCGAGTTGGTTGATTCTGTTCTAGATGTGGTCCGTAAGGAAGCTGAAAGCTGTGACTGTCTACAGGGATTCCAGTTGACCCATTCCCTGGGTGGTGGAACTGGTTCTGGTATGGGAACTCTCCTCATTAGTAAAATCCGTGAAGAATATCCAGATAGAATCATGAACACCTTCTCTGTCTGTCCTTCACCTAAGGTAAGAATATTTTACATTCTACATCAATTACTGCAATATTATTTGTACCGATATATAAATATTCCAAATGCCATTATTAACGACGAGGTATTTAGGCCATTTCTTTAGCAGATAAAATACATAAATCTTTAACTGTTTTAACTATTCTAAAATACGTTTTTATTTGTATATATCTTCAGGTATCAGATACAGTTGTTGAACCGTACAACGCTACTCTCTCAGTTCATCAACTTGTAGAAAATACAGACGAGACCTACTGTATTGATAACGAGGCTCTCTATGATATCTGTTTCCGTACCCTCAAACTGACCACACCTACATACGGTGACCTCAATCATCTCGTGTCAGCCACCATGTCTGGAGTAACCACCTGTCTACGATTCCCTGGTCAACTGAATGCTGATCTACGTAAACTGGCTGTCAACATGGTACCTTTCCCACGTCTACATTTCTTTATGCCTGGTTTTGCTCCCCTCACCTCTCGTGGATCCCAGCAGTACCGAGCTCTCACTGTACCCGAACTCACCCAGCAGATGTTTGATGCCAAGAACATGATGGCTGCCTGCGATCCTCGTCACGGACGTTACCTAACAGTAGCTACCATGTTCAGAGGTCGTATGTCCATGAAGGAGGTGGATGAACAGATGTTGAACGTTCAGAATAAAAACAGTAGCTACTTTGTTGAATGGATTCCCAACAACGTAAAAACAGCTGTCTGTGATATTCCACCAAGAGGTCTGAAGATGTCAGGAACATTTATTGGTAACAGTACAGCTATTCAGGAACTGTTTAAGAGAATATCTGAACAGTTTACAGCCATGTTCAGAAGAAAGGCTTTCCTCCATTGGTATACTGGTGAAGGTATGGATGAGATGGAATTTACGGAAGCTGAATCTAACATGAATGATCTGGTATCTGAATATCAACAATACCAGGATGCCACGGCTGAAGAGGAAGGAGAATTTGATGAAGAAGAAGGCGAAGAAGAAGGTTAAATATCAGATACACAAATCTAATTAGTAGAAACATTTAAATTATTATAAATTGTTTAATCATTGTTATGTTTATTCTGTATTTATGTAAATCAGGATTAAATAAGTTAAAATATAATTTTTATTATCAATGAAGCGGTGTAGCTTGCTGCTACAAATTCAGGGTAAAAGAGTTGGTCAAGAGCTGACCGATGTCTTAGAGACAGAACCCCGGGAAACTTTACAACCACTGTATAATTGGATCCCCAAATCCCATGTCCCCCATCAGGAGGTGATATCGCATATAATACTACGTTGTTGTTAGTTAGTTGTATTTTACGTCCGCTTCCATATAATACGGATTCAAGTACAGTTAAATACCACCACCTTTGTAAGGGAGATAACTGCGTAAATATTTAAATTTTTTGCAAATTATCGAATATTCAAAGCCATTAAAAACGCAATGTCTAATTCGTGAAATTCTGGTAAACGTTTTCTTGAGCTTTCCTATCTTATGGCATATAGGTAAAACTTGTGATGGGTCTCTTTTGTGGAGTTATGGGTTTAAACCCGATATCAGTTCTCGGTAGTGAACTTTGTTCTTACAAACGCAACACTTGTCTTTTTTCACGATTTTAAGCAGTCCCATGCCACACGTTTTGCACGTATATTCCCTGAACTCTGGCCCTTTAAATACAGATCAAAATTTCAACATTCATCACATCTGAAAATACCACGCCTTACACAAGAAAACAGGAACAGAGCTATTGGCATGCTGGATCAGGGGACTTCACAGGTAGCCGTCGCCAGACATTTGAATGTCCACCCATCGACCATTGCTTGCCTCAGACAACGCTTCCACGCCACTGGAAGAGTTGCCGATCGACCCCGACCTGGTGGACCACCTATAACAACCGCTGCTCAAGATCGTCACATCCGACTACAGCATCTGCGCAACAGATTCCAGTCTGGTACTGCCAGGGGAACTGTTGGAACACGGCAACGTCAGATCAGCCCTCAAACAGTCCGATTACGCTGCCATCGACCTGACCAAGGTCAAATCCTTTTGCATCGTCATCGACTTGCCAGACAGCAATGGGCCGCAAATGAGGGGTATCTGCACAACACACCATGGCTAAATGTCATCTACTCGTATCAATCCCGATTCCAATTTTCCTGATGGACGTCACCTTGACCCATGATTTTGTATGAGGAACAAGATCATGTCCTGCCCCCCCCCCCCCCAAAAAAAAACCCCCAACAATATTTATATGTCCCAGTGCCATTTGGTTATATTGGACTGTGTGGAACATGCTAGAGTAGATTTGTAGCATATCTGGCCCACGGTATATGTTTGACATTGGTTGGGCATTATGATTATGCAAAGCTCGTCATTGTGTCCCTCTCACTTAATAGTCTCTGAACGGAATGCCCCCAATACTCAGACATGGTGTTCATATAGGCGTACAAGCCCGATGAATTGGTGGAGGAGGGGGGCAGAAATTAAATGCCCAAAAGCATTTCCGGTCACCAGCGAGCGCCTACGGATCGAAGTTCCAGGCCGTGAGTACAACAGCTTGAAAGTGGTCCAATATAGCCTTATTTATGTGGTTTTGCAATCGAAATGCACCCTGTACTCACCCCGATTCCAGATTTGAGAGGAGAGGGACATAAATGAAGTGCCTAAAATATTCGTGTTTAGAGTCAATGGATCTGCGACCTGCCAGATCGGGGGGTATGAGAGACTCCCTGTTAGAAATTTGAAGGTCCGGTAAAGCTCAATATAATTAAAACACAGATGCTATTTCGTTTTGTTTTATAGCTCAAAATTTCATTTTACTTGTCTTTACTGGGCTAGGATCTGGAAGAGTTGTTGTATAACCAGCGTTCTGGGTGATGTGAGGGATTAGTCAATGAAACGGTCTGTTACGGCGAGTTTTTGGCGTGAGGTGCACGGATCTTTGGGTAAACAACCAGAAACTTCAAAATTGATTGATTAATCAATGTCTGACGTTATAACGTCGTATGGCACCTGACGCGACCTTCCACTACAACAAGTCAGATCTTCATGTAGTGTAAGTCATCGAAAGTATAAAAAAAAGAAACGAAATATAGATCTGTATTTTATTCAGATTGGTTATCACTGCTTCTTTAAACTCGGCGACTTTGTAGACCCGTTGCGACATACA